GATATTCCGTACTTCGGACACCGATGTGTTTCGGAGTGTATGTCGTGAGAATGACCGCCTCTGGCTCGATGACGAGAGGGTTCTTCGGCCGGCTCGCATGCGTTGGATCCAGTCTTCTGCCATTTACCAAGCGAGAGCGGTCCGCGATTCTCTGAATTCGATATCGCAGGTTCGGATTATGTCCGAACCGTCTTCCAAGCAATTGTGCAGGAGTCTCCAGCGACAGGCCCCAGACATCAGTTTCCGTGATATGATCGGTGCCAGGCTTGAGAAATGGCCCCTGGTCCCTGCCCTTCCCCCTTCTGCCCCCGCCTTCGTGGTTGCCCGCCTCCGGACTCTCAGCCGTGAGGTCATGCCTGGGATCGTCTTCCATTTACTTGGAACGATTTGTAACGGCTGGCACACGTCCGCACGTTTTTCGGCGGACATCTTGCCATGGAGATTCTGCGGCAGTGTAGGCGCTGACAAACTGCAGCGCTATCTTGAACGCCCCACTCTTTTGAGCTTTGTCAACGAGTTAACGCTCTTCCAGTGGGCGCCTGACGGCCCGCCCACTATCGTGAAGAAGTGGTGGCTTGCTGTGCACCCCAATCACGCTTTAAATAGTTTGATTCAAGCTGCCTTGGTCAATGGGGCGGTATTGGGGGTGTTTCAACGTGCTAGGACGTCCCAGGTGGTGCGCCTTACCGCCCAGTGGATTTCTCACTTCCGCACGAGACTTCGCGCGATCGCTCGCTTGGATTCTCGGGTTCGGCACTTCATGCACCAAATGCTCAGGTAGGTGCGGTGTGCGTCTCAGTCTTGTTGCATTCCGCCTCCTGCTTCACAGTCGTGATGCGCTACTTTGCGTCGCAGTTGTGATGCGCTCCATGTTTCGCTTCTCTGTTGTCTTCCGTCTCTTGTCCTTCCTCTCCCTCTCTCTCTCTCTTGCCGAAAGTCGTCTGGGTGACTTACAGCATGTTCTGAAAAAATCGTTGCAGGAGAAAAATCGCACCCTGTGGGGTTGGTGTACTAGCGCCGTGCCGGTTATTTTCTAGTCGCGGCGTGTGGAGGAGACCTCGTGCAGTCGAGCATTTGATCATCATCGCCATCATCATTATCGTCATCATCGGGACACCATCATCGTCACCATCATCATCATCAACATCATTAACATCGGGACACCATCATCATCATCATCATCATCATCATCATCATCGGAACACCACCGTCATCATCGTTTCATCGTCATCATGAACCGTGCCATCAACATCATCATCATCATCATCATCATCGGGACACCATCATCATCAGCAGCATCATCATCAACGTTATAATCATCATCGGGACACCATCATCGTCACCATCATCGTCATCGTCACCATCATCACTATCATCGGGACACCCTCATCATCAGCAACAACAGCATTAGCATCATCACCATCAGCGGGCCGCCATCATCAAAATCATCATATCGCCTCATCGTCACTTCCATCATCAACATCATCATCATCGTCATCATTTTCGGGACACCATCACCGTCCTCATCTTTCATCATCACCAACGTCATCATCATCGGGATGCCATCATCATCACCATCATCATCAACAGCAGCATCACCAACCGCATCATCATCATTAGGACACCATCATCATCAATATCATCATCACCATATCATCATCATCATTTCATCATCATCATCATCATCATCATCAACATTATCATGATCATCAACACCATCATCATCATCATCATCACCGGGACACCATCATCATCATCAGCAGCAACACCATCATCTCCAACATCATCATCATCATTGGGACACCATCATCACCACCATCACCATCATCGTCATCATCATCATCATCATCAACATCGTCAACATCATCATCGCCATCATCATCGTCATCATCATCACCAGGACACCATCATCACCACCACCATCACCATCATCATCATCATCACCATTATCAACGTTATCGACATCATCATCATCATCATCATCATCATCATCATCATCATCATCATCATCATCATCATCATTCTCATCATCATCATCGGGACACCGACGGGACACCGGCGGGACACCGCGCGGCACCGGCCCCCGGAGAGGAATCATTTGTTCCGGCCGCGCTTCAGCTGGAGGCGGGACACCGGCGGGACACCGCGCGGCACCGGCCCCCAGAGAGGAATCATTTGGTCCAGCCGCGCCTCAGCCGGAGGAGACTTTCTTCGCGCCCGCCCACGCAGCTTCGCCTCGCCCGCACGCTCGGCACGCACGAACACGAGACCGAAACCGATTTCCCGGTAGGGGGGCTATCCGTTCCACTTCGATCTCACCCCCTCACCTCCGATCTGACCATATAAATGTCTTTCAATGGTTTTGGCATCTGCAGCCAGCCCCTAGGGCCTCCAAGACGGCCCAGGACCCCCCCAAGAGAGCCCCAGGACGGACCTGAGACCATTTCAGTACGGTTCCTGACACGTCCCTTGGTGCGTCCCCTGTCATGTCTGCGGCGCGTCCCCTGGCACGGCCCCTGGCACGTCTTCTGGCACGTCTCTTGGCGCGCCCCCTGGGATGTCCCCTGGCGCGTCCAATGGCAGGTGTGCGGCGCGTCCCCTTGCACGGTCCTTCACTCGTCCCCTGGATAGTCTGCGGGCCGTCCCCTGACGCGTCTCATGGCACGTCCCCTGGCGCGTCGCGCGGTACGTCCGGCGGCGCGTCCCATGGCTCGTCCCTTGGCCCTTTTATAGGCGCGTTCCCTGGTGTGTCCGCTGGCACGTCTCATGGCACGTCCACTGGCGCGCCCACTGGTACGCCCCCCTGGCACGTCGCGCGGCACGTCCCCTGACACGTTCTCTGGCGCATCCCCTGGCTCGTCCCCTGGCGCGTCCCCTGGCATGTTTCGTGGCGTACCCCATGGCACGTCCGCGTCCCTTGGCACGTCCCGTGGCGCGTCCTGCACATGTCCGTGGCACTTTTCTGGAGATGTCCCCGATTACGTCCACTGGCGCGTTCCGTGGCTCATCCCTTGGCGCGCCCCTGGCGCGTCCTGTGCCGCGTCCCTTTTGTAGTCCTTCCACTTTCCATGTAGTGACGAACCTGTTTCCTTCGAAGAAGGAATTATCCCAGTGCGACCCTACCTAGGAGTTGGAGCCCCTAGGAAAGCAGCATTTGTAGTAACGGTAAAGCTAAGCTAAAGCTAAGCTAAAGCAAAGCTACAGCTAAGCTGAGGCTAAGCTAAATCTAAGCTAAAGCTAAGCTACAGCTAAGCTAAAGCTAAGCTAACGCTAAGCTGAAGCTAAGCTCAAGCTAAGCTAAATCTAAGCTAAAGCTAAGCTAAAGCTAAACTAAAGCTAAGCTAAAGCTAAGCTAAAGCTAAAACTAAAGCTAAGCTAAAGCTAAGCTAAAGCTAAGCTAAAGCTAAGCTAAAGCTAAGCTAAAGCTAAGCTACATCTAAACTAAAGCTAAGCTAAAGCTAAGCTAAAGCTAAGCTAAAGCTAAGCTAAAGCTAAGCTAAAGCTAAAGCTAATGCTGAAGCTAAAGCTAAAGCTAAAGCTATGGGGCGCAACTGGGGGAACCGCGGGGCGGGGACCGGGGGAGCCGCCCCCGGGGCGTGGTCCATTGCCCGGCCCCTTTAAGCTAACAGAGTAAGAACCCTCTAGGCAGAGCCTAGGTAGGGAAAAACGGAATAAATATACACTGTTACAGTTCGCGCGGATTTCTTGTATCTGCGCTGGACCCCGCGCGCTAGGGGCGGCGTCAGAGGCGCCGCCAGGGGGGCCCAGCGCAAATCCAAGAATTCCGGGCAGACCGTCAGGAGTTTATGTTTATGCAGTATTTCCTTCTTCCATTTCTGCTTCCGAAGCACTGGATTTGCCGAGAAGCGACAACGAAAGGATTTGGAGGCCGCATGGAGCGAGGCGAGGTGGAGGAGGAGGAGGCGGAGGAGGAGGAGGACGAAGAGAAGGAAGATGATGAGGAGGAAGAGGAGGATGAGGAGGACGACAAGGATGATGATGACGATGGTGATGATGCTTATGCTGCTGATGATGATGATGATGATGATGATTTTGAGGATGCTGATGATAGTGACGATGACGACTCTGATGATGACGACGATGCTGATGCTGCTGCTGATGATCATGATGATGATGGTGGTGGTGATGATGCTGATGCTGATGCTGATGATGATGACGATGGTGCTGCTGCTGTTGTTGTTGATGTTGATGATGATGATGATGGTGATGATGATGATGATGATGATGATGATGCTGATGCTGATGATGATGATGATGATGATGATGATGATGATGATGATGATGATGATGATGATGATGATAATGATGATGACGATGATGCTGATGCTGATGCTGATGCTGATGCTGATGCTGATGGTGATGATGAGGAGGAGGAGGTGGAGGAGGAGGACGGCGACGTCGACTATCAGGAGGTAGCGCGCAGGCTTGGCATACCCAGATTCCTTTCTAGTCTCGAGTGTCGCTTATGCTCTCGAGTGTCTGGCCCCCAGCCCTTTCGAACGCCCATCCCCGGGACCAGGCCAAGGCTCGTTGCGGTCCCGGGCCCCCCAGGGACGCCGAACGCCGTGAAGCATTTTTTTCTGGCGTGACGCTGTCAAGAGTCGCCAGAGGTCCCGGGAGCTTTTTCGCTATTTTCGGCCTCTGGGGGCCCTCACAGGGCCCCAGGACCGTGTCCAGGCAAGGGGTCCAGACTTCTGGGGTTTAACGTGGTTGAAAAAGTCACGACGTCGGGGGTTTGGGCCCCCAGGTCCTGGTTGCTGGTTCTTCTGGGCCTGGTGTCCGTTCGCGTTGCTTGCGACTGGGCTGCAACATGTCTGGGGCCCGTTCTGGTTCTGCACCGATGGTTCTCGCGGTGGACAAGCTGTTATGAGGTCCGACAGCGATCGCACGTGCGTGACCACACGAGCTGCGCGCAGCGCTCGCCTCGAGCCATGATCCCTCCCCCCTTCGTGGTTCCCCTCCTGGCCGCTCTCCTGCAGGAGAGAGCGAGGAGGCCCCACTCCTCGCCACGCCCGGCTTGTTCGGGTCCGTGGACGACGCCGAGACCCCGGGCGCCCGTGCGTCGCTCAGATGCCACTGGGGCGGCGTCCGCTCCCCACGGCCCCCCGCGCCCTCGCTTTAGGTCGGGCGTGTCCTACAGGCGGATCGCGGAGGAGAAAGGAGAAACAGACAGAAAATACTCAAAACTAGTCGAACAATGTCGAAACCTCGTCTCCTTATTTTTCTGGTGTGTGTGTGTGTGACTATTTTGGATGTCCTCTTCGTGGAGGCACATGCCCGACTTATAACCCTCGCGCCGGCCCCGGTCTCGCCCGCCCGTGCCACGCCCCTCTCCTTCTCCCCACGCCCGGACCCCCTCGAGACACGACAGCCAAAGAGCACGGCTTTGCGTCCCAGTTCGAAGGTTTTCAGGGGGCCGAAGCTAGGGGAACAGAAAGTGACATAAACATAAAAACTCGGAGATCCGCGCGGATTTCTCGGATCGGCGCTGGGGCCCCCCGGCGGCGCCTCTGGCGCGCCCCTGGCGCGCGGAGCGCGCCAGGGAGGGGGGTCCATCGCCGATCCGAGAAATCCGCGCGGACCTCCGAGTTTTTATGTTTATGCCATTTTTTGTTCCCCTAGAAGAAGTTGCTCAGATGCCCCCCCCGTGCATGGACGTCCATCGCCTGCTGGACCTTTCCGATGAGCGCGCTGCTTGAATGTCAAAATGTCCAGGTCGACCAGAGCAAGCCTTCACTGGTAAAACCACTGGATGCTGCGTGATTTTCAGGTCTGGCCTGGAAACTTTCAGTTCGACCTGAAAATGCTCAGGTGCCCCGCGTGTATGAAATAATACAGCCTGGTGACGTCTTCAGGTTTCTACACCGCGTGGTACCATTTGTACCTGAAAATTTGCAGGTCCACCTGAACGTACCATCCGGCTGAAAGAAGAATGGATGAAGCGCCTTGGAAGACAATTTTCAGGTCCAAGCTGAAACTTGTCAGGTCGACCAGAAAGTGCCAAGGTGCCCCAAATGTATCAAGTAATACACCCCGTTGGCATTTTCAGTCTTCTACATTGTTTGGCGATAATAGTTATCTTAAGGGGCCTGAAGTGACCTGAAAATATCCCCCCCTGCGGTTCCGCCCATCTACGCCACTGGCGTGTCCAGTGACATTGTGCGGGGCCCCGAGCGCCTAACGGGGGTTCGCCATTCTGCTATGGCCCACACTCTCTCTCTTGCTCATGCTCATGCTCATGCTCATGTTCTCGCGTGCTCATGCATATGCTCGCTTGCTATGGCCCGATTGCTCTCGCTTGCTCTTGCTTGCTCATGCTTGCTCATGCTCATGCTCATGGCCCACTGGCTCTCGCTTGCTCATGCTATGGCCCCCAATCTGCAGACGTGCATGCTCATGCTTGCGTTTTTTCGCGAAACTGGTGTGAGCGGTCAGTATGGTCCAAGAAAGCTCCACGAGGGCGTACAGGAAAGGTCGAAGAAACCGCTTTCATGGAATATCCTGACATCATGGGCCGCTAAGATCAGCGAAAGGCCACCGAGACCACCCAAGACGGGCCAGCAGGCTTCTTGAAAGTCCCAACCAACGACTGCCCAAGATACCTGTAACATCGCTGTAATAAGCAACGCTTGCTAGCTTGACTGTGTGCTCCCTTCTCGCAAGGACATGCTGACATTTGAACGTAGTTGTGTATACACGCATGTACATATGAGTTCTTTACGCTTCGCGTATCCCCACCAGTCGCCTAACGGCTCCATTTCTGGTCGGCTGTTGTTAGGACAGTCGGTCGAATGTTCTGGCCTGGTCTCTCTGCGTCCTGCTGTTCGTCCCCCCTCGCCGTCTTCTACTGCTTTGCCTCAGTGGCTGCACGGGTACAGGCCGTGTGCGTGCTGCGGTTGGCAGCTTGTGGCAGGTTCGCTTGCGAGCTGGCGCCGTCAGGGCGACTCCTCGTTGGCCCTCGCTGTCGTTCACTCTCTGCATGTGCACTTGCATGCCGGTCTGCTTAGCGCGGTCTCCAGCCGTTGGGCGGTGGTTCCGCCGCTTGGCCTGCGTCTCCAGCAGCTTGGCTGCTTTAATTATCTTGCACTGTGCCCCAGTTTGCTCGATTACCACGCCCTCTGGACTTTTCCTTGCCTAGGAGCGCCGCGCGCACCATGTGCGCCACGGGTTCCAGGTGCACGAGGCACCCTGGAGGCTCGTGCGAGCCAGGTGCTCCAGGTGCGCCACGTGCTCCACGTTCCAGCAGAATGCCGGCACCCCCGCCGCCCCTGGCAAAAGCCAATGCAGAGTGGTCGCGGGGCGCCCGCGCGTGCTCCGGACGTGGAGGCATATTGAATTCTGTATGTTTTTTTTGGCAGGGACGGCTGGCCTGCGTGCAGCGAGCAATATGACGGCACCCCCGCCGTCCCTGTCAAACAAACCACTGCAAAGTGGTTGCGAGGCGCCCGCGCCATCGTTGTTGGCGGCGGTGGTTGGCGTGCGCTCAGCGAGCAATATGACGGCAACCCCGCCGCCCCTGTCAAAAACCAATGCGAAGTAGTCTCGGGGCGCCCGCACATGCTCCAGATGTGGAGGCAAAGTGCGTAGTGTATTGTCTTTTTGGCAGGGATGGTTGCCCTGCGCGCAGCGAGCAATATGACGGCGCCCCCGCCGTCCTTTTCAAAAACCACTGCCGAAGTGGTCGCGTGGTGCCCGCGCGTGCTCCGGATGTGGAGGCAAAATGCATTCAGCACCGTTTTTTAGCAGGGATGGCTGGCCTGCGCGCATCGAGCAATATGACGGCACCCCCGCCGTCCCCGTCTCGGGCTGGCACACAGTCGGGTGGGGGAGGGGGGCGGTATATTGATAAGGGGCAGTGAAAAATCCCCCCCGCAGCAGGGAAACGAGGGGTTTTGGCAGAGAGGAGGCAAAACTCGTTAAACCACCTACGCCCTAAAGGGCTGGTGGGATTCTCTACGTGTGCATCTATGCACCTAGTTCAATATACCGATATCCGCCCGTGGTGCCTCGTGGTTGGATAGTGAAATCGATAGTGGGAGCAATAGTGATATC